CAGATGCCCCCGTCCAGCCCCAGCCTTGGACACGAGGCTTTGCATTCATGCAGCTTGCCCGGGGGGGATGCGGCACCACAGCTACAGGCCCACTCTGGGTGATACTGGGAGGCATTTGGCTTCCCGCAGCCAGCTCCTGCCGCTGGCAGAACCTTCCACTGGATTAGAGAGTCAATTTTCCTTAACAATTGCTCATCACGGCAAGAGCTGCAATTACTAATGACCATTCCAGAGCAGAGCAGGAGGAATGCAGCTTGCCCGGGGGGGATGCGGCACCACAGCTACAGGCCCACTCTGGGTGATACTGGGAGGCATTTGGCTTCCCGCAGCCAGCTCCTGCCGCTGGCAGAACCTTCCACTGGATTAGAGAGTCAATTTTCCTTAACAATTGCTCATCACGGCAAGAGCTGCAATTACTAATGACCATTCCAGAGCAGAGCAGGAGGAGCGGCTCTTCCCCACACCCGCTGCCCCTGAGCCTGTTGCAGCCGGAGGTGCCGGCAGAGTCCTGCACCCGTCCTTTGGGACGGCAGCCGCATCGCATGAGCGAATGCTTGGCTGCATTACGCCGGAGCACGCCCAGAGCTGGTGCACGTGGCCTGCATGTGCCCCGTGACTTCTTGGCCCCTGCACAGGATTCCAGGGCAGGGCCCAGCAGGCACCAGGAGATGTAGCTACAGGTAAGTGGAGACCCCTGCTCCAGGGTGTGACTCCCCCTCCCTTTTCACTTGCTGCAGCTTTGCTCTCCAGATTACCACCTACCTCTGTTAGTGGTTCTGCCTGCTACAAAGAGAGTGTTACGGCCCAGGTGACGCGAGGGGTACAGCCTGGGCCACCAGGCAGAGAGAAATCCATGGTGCCGATTTTCCTCAGAAAGCTGAAAGGAGCTGAGTCAGGTCCACAGCAGGGAGCAGGATGAACACTGAGCTCGACCCTCCCAGCCAGCCCCACCTCATTCGGTGAAACTGCAGGCCTGGAGACAGCCAGCACTTGCTGAGAAGTGTTTATTAAAGGCACTAAAAGCACCGTGGCTACATCAGCAGCAGCCTGACTGGAGATTGTGGGTTTGGGAGAGGCATTGACAGGCCTGGGACGGCGGTAGCAGAGCGCTCTTTGGTAGGAAGCTGTGCCCGAGCCCCGTGGGAGGCCGCTGGCCGGGCA